CCAGCTTTTTTGTATTTTTAGTAGAGATGGGGTTTCACCATGCTGGCCAGGCTGGTCTTGAACTCCTGACCTTGTCGTCTGCCCGCCTCGGCCTCCCAAAGTCCTGGGATTACAGGCATGAGCCACCGTGCCCGGCCGCGACAGGCATTTTGTTTTATCTTTTCTCAGGATGGAGTCTCGCTCTGTCGCCCAGGCTGGAGTGCAATGGTGCGATCTCGGCTCAAAGCAACTTCCACCTCCTGGGTTCAAGTGATACTCCTGCCTCAGCCTTCAGAGTAGCTGGCAGTACAGGCATGCACCACCACACTTGGCTAATTTTTTGTATTTTTAGTAGAGACAGGTTTTCACCATGTTGGCCAGGCTAGTCTAGAACTCCTGACTTTGTGATCCGCCCACCTCGGCCTCCCAAAGTGCTGGGATTACAGGTGTGAGCCACCGCGCCCAGTCATGACAGGCATTTTCTAAATGACAAATTATTTCTCTCTTCTCTAACTACAGTCTTGTAAATATCATTTTATAAACAAGAACAATGACACTCTAAGAAAAGCAACTTCATGAAATTACACACCCAGTAAATGCCGGAATTTGGACATAGGCCTGTGACTACAGGGTTAGAATTTTCCCATTGCATATGGTGGGAGGTTAAGGCCAGGCGTGGTGGCTCACACCTGTAATCCCTGCACTTTGGGAGGCCGAGACAGGTGGATCACCTGAGGTTAGGTTACTTTATCTTCTTCAAACATGGTTGAAATTCCATCTCTACTAAACATACAAAATTAGCTGGGTGTGGTGGCGCATGCCTATAATCCCAGCTACTTGGGAGGCTGAGGCATGAGAATCACTTGAACCCAGGAAGCGGAGGTTGCAGTGAGTGAAGATCACGCCATTGCACTCCAGCCTGGGCAATAAGGTCAAAACTCTCTCTCAAAAAAAAAAAAAAAAGGTGGGAGGTTAAGAACCACTCTGTTTCTGCACCTGGAATTAACATAAACAGCAGATCAATCTGGAAGTTACCAACAAGTGCCAACAAGCCTAGAGGTACTAGGCCAGAGGCAAAAACTATCCTGTCAATGCTTTCCACAGAATAACTAAGCAAATAACAGCCACTTTTTAAAAATACAAGTGAAAATACCTCTTAAGATGGGAAGGAATGGACTTTCTTACAACTTAGATTATCTACTTTATTGAACACAGACGTATCAATTAGAAAATCAGCACTGTTTTATAATACATACTAAAATAATATCTGGGCATATTAGAAAAACTAAGTCAACATACCCTCTCTCCAATTTGTACATTAGGAGAGAACAATTATTAAACTGAGTCTAACCCATTATTAAATTACAACTTAGATTTTAGAGTGGGCAAAGATCATCTAGATCTGTGTTGTCCATGTAACAACCAGCTACGTCCAGCTATTTAAAGTAACTAAAATTAAATAAAAAATTCAATTCCTCAAGTGCACTACTTGCTCGTCAAGTATTCAACAGTCACACACGGCCAATGGTTACCTCACTGGAACACATCTATCATCATAGAAAGTTCAACTGGGCAGTGATTAGCTTCTACATTTTCCATTTGACTTTTTTCAGAAGGGTCAGTGGAAAGAGCAGCTCAGAAGACTAACGAGCTGAACAACCATGTATGCATCATTTTAATTTCTATTTATTTACGTATTTTTTTGAGACAGGGTCTCTTGCTGTTGCCCAGGCTGGAACGCAGTGGTGCGATCAGGGCTCACTGCAGCCTCAACCTCCTGGGCTCAAGCAATCCTCTCATCTCAGTCTCTAAAGTAGCTGGGACTACAGGTGTGCACACCACAACTGGCTCATTTTATTTTGTAGAGACAGGGTCTCACTATACTGCCTAGGTGTATGCATCATTAAGCAGTGCTTCTCAAACTGAATGCGCACTGAATGACTTGAAAATCTTGTTAAAATGTAGGTTCTTCCCAGCATGGTAGGAGGCCAGGAGTCTGACAACAGCATGGGCAACACAGCGAGACTCCACTTCTTAAAAAAAAAAAAAAAAAAAAAAAAATTAGCAAAAAAAAAAAAAAAAAAAAAAGGCAGTGTATGATGGTACACATCTGTATTCCAGCTACTGAGGTGAGAGGATTACTTGAGTCCAGGAGTTCCAGGTGGCAATGCGTTATGATCACACCATTACACTCCGATCCAAACTGGGCAACAGGGCAAGATTGTGCCTCTTATTTAAAAAAAAAATGTAGATTCTAAGATTCTAATTCAGTAGGACTGAGATGAGGTCAAGATTCTAACTTCTAACAAGTTCGCAGGTGATGCTAATACTGTTGGTCCAGAATTCACACTTTCAGTACCAAGGTCTTAGATCTCTCCAGGCCTTAGTTTCCTTAACTGTCAAATGATGTACATGAATGAAGCAAGATAATGCCCATGACACCTCCAAAACAGTAATATTTTAAAAGTTTTATGATTGTACAGAATTAAATGCATATAGATTTGCACTCTGCAGAGGCAGACTTTTCTGAGGTAAATGCTAGGATTCTACTTTTTTTTTTTTTGTTTTTTTTGTTTTTTTTAGTAGAGACGGGGTTTCACTGTGTCAGCCAGGATGGTCTTGATCTCCTGACCTCGTGATCCGCCTGTCTCGGCCTCCCAAAGTGCTGGGATTACAGGCTTGAGCCACCGCGCCCGGCCAATGCTAGGATTCTAAAAACAAGTTTTATGATACCATTTTTTTTCTGTGAAAAAAACACCAAATTTAATGAAAATTAATGGGAAAATTTTATTTGCTATATAAGCATTTGATCTCTGAACAAGTTTTTAGAAATGGACTTAGAAGACTGACATGTATAAAAGACAAAACTTTTAGAACTCTATGGGCCGGGCACAGTGGCTCACGCCTGTAATCCCAGCACTTTGGGAGGCCCAGGCGGGTGGATCAGGAGGTCAAGAGAGCGAGACCATCCTGGCCAACATAATGAAATCCCGTCTCTACTAAAAAAAAAAAAAAATACAAAAATTAGCTGGGCATGGTGGCGTGTGCCTGAAGTCCCAGCTACTCAGGAGGCTGAAGCTGAAGAATCACTTGAATGTGGGAGGCGGAGGTTGCAGTGAGCCAAGATGGCGCCACCGCACTCCAGCCTGGCGACACAGTGAGACTCATCTCAAAACAAAAAACAAAAAACAAACAAACAAAAAAACCAACTCTATCAGAGAGCCACACAGTATTTTCCAAATAGGCAGTTCATGGAGATGAAAAAACCAGTGCTGGACTTGGCCCACATCACTGTCACCTTAAAAGCATCAGCTTCACATGAAAGCAACCCCTGGAAAATGCCATTAACTACAGTAACATTGGAGTTGTTTTCTTAAAGTCTCAGTCAAGGCTCTCAGCAATAAAAATGAGCAAAATTCCCATACCACAGGCAGGTTGTTGTGTAATGTAACAGCCCACAAAACAGGCTGAAGGAACTAATGAAGGCAGCCAACAATGCCACACAGAATTTACTTCTGAGACATCTTCTTTCCATTTTAACAGGGGACCTAGAGTAACACAAGGTTCGAATGGTTCAAAAGTAACAAGGAATTGGATAGCAGTGGTGAGAAGGCTCAGCATTTCATAAAACAGTACCTTGCAGATAGGAAGCAAGCTAAGATATCCAGTTTTTGTTTGTTTGTTTGTTTTTTGGAGTCTCGCCTCAGCCTCCCAAAGTGCTGGGATTCCAAGCGTTAGCCACTGCCCTGGCTTCAGTTTGTTTTTAAACTCTGAATTATGCACACCACAGCTAATTACCTATATTTGAAAACAATGCCGGAAATGTGTTAAACCTCTAAGTAATGTGATGCTCTGAAAATTTTCAATACTTTGTATTTTTATGTTTCCTTTACTAGAAATTTTTAAAAGTTTGAATTAAAACTTTATTTAAAAATCCTCTAGATATAAAGCACGCAATACTCTTCCAAAATAGTTCCAAAAATTTAATTCACATTAACAATACATTTTACGGGCCGGGAGCAGGGGCTCACGCCTGTAATCCCAACACTTTGGAAGGCTGAAGCAGGCAGATTGCTTGAGCCCAAGAGTTCAAGAACAGCCTGGGCAACATGGTGAAAACTCATCTCTACAAAAAATACAAAAACTAGCCAGGCATGGTCGCACACAGCTGTAGTCCCAGGGACTCAGGAGGCTGAGGTAGGAGGATCACCTGAGCCCAGGAAGTAGAGGTTGCAGTTAACAGTGATCGCACCATTGCACTCCAGCCTGGGTGACAGAGCAAGACCCTGTCTCACAAAAACAACAACAAACACTTTACTGTCCACAAACTCCTTAAATCCATTTGAAAAATTAAACAGTATACACAGAAAAACTAGAGGATGGGTGGGAAATTTTTCTTTTATTTTAAAAATTGAGACAGGGTTTTGTTATGTTGCCCATACTGGTCTTGAACCCCTGGCCTCAAGCGATCCTTCCACCACAGTGGAATCCCAAAGTGCTGGGATTACAGGTGTGAGCCACCGCACCCAGCCCCACTCTTAAACTGCCATTCTCAATCTTTTTCCCCCTCTCAATCTTATTTTAAGCCAACTTGCTAAACGTTGCCTGTTTTAAAATCAGTCAAAAGATGCATCTTATTACCAAGTTTCAACTTAAAGTTTTAAATTTGGAACTGTACATTCAGCTTATCTTTTAAAAAAATGAAAAATAGTGCCTAATACCTATTTCAAATTGTCTTTATTAAAACAGAAAATTCACATAAATCACAAAGCACAACATATAATCATGTTTTAATAATTCCATGAGAGTGAAACTTTCATATTCAGAGCCATATCTGATTAAATATTAAATATAAAGATAACTCACATAACCAATAAAAATATAAGGTCAATTTCTAACGACACCATAAAAGTACTATCTGTCCTTTATAAATAACCTGTAACAAATCTCTCTCAGCAGTAGCCAAAAACCTGTTAGTATCAAACATTTAATTTCAGCACCTGACCAGCAATTGGTTTTACCTTTCCTCTCAGCAAACGTTACACAATTCCACCTGTAGGGTATAGGATATCCTTTTAAAATGCAATTTAAGAAGCCATTACTTTGTAGAAACTGCTGTTCCTCTTCAGAAAAAAATGAGAGAGAATTTCAATGTGGACAGGAACATTTTAGCCTATCATTTAAAAAAAAATACAATTTAAAAAAAAAAAAGCCACGTAGCAGTCCGTGGGCAGCATGAGTCATCATCCAACTCAAAACTTGCAGCAGCACTTGTAAGCTTCCTCCTACCCGACCCCATCCCCTTCAGCAAAGTACCCTGAGTCAGCAAACCTTACTATTTTGTCAGTTGATTCTCACGATGCTTTAAATGAATTTATGTAAAGCACTGCAACACGTTTAGTGCTAACATTTGTCTTTAGAATGAGTGCATTTTTTTAATTGCAAAATTAACTTATTTCAGATCACTCTTCTCTGGATTTTTTAATCACAAGTAGCCAAGGACTACTTCTAATCCTCTTTTGCAAATAACTGAATTCCAAAATATCCTCATATACGAAGTTTTTCCTAAAATATTCTCCATTTTCCAGTGTTTTCTTCTGAACAGTAATACCTAGGTGATCAAATATGCTCTGCTCAAATCTGGCATATTTTCTAGATTAACTGCAATTACTGAATTCAGGACATCAATAAATAATTTGACACGCTTAACAAGGCAATTCTTAATAAATGATGTAACATATGTGAAAAGACTTTACACTCCCTGGCACATAGCAAACACTTCATAAACATGTTTGAACAATTACTAGCTAAAGACAAAGTTTCTTTCACCCAATTCAAAATCATTTTTTAAAAATTAAAATCTGACATTTCTATGAAGAAATTCCTGATTTCAGGGCCAGGCCCTGTTTGGACCCTACATTCTTCTGGTCAGATCATTCTTTCCATCTCGGTTTTCCAGCGTTAAAGAGAGAGGACATGCCCAATCGGAACTGTAAGAGACAGGCTAGAAGAATCAGCCATCAGAAAATTACTCTGAAGCTGCTTGCTCTTCATTGTACGGCATGTTAATTTTTCCCCTTGACAAATCATCTGTATCCGTTACAATTAAAAAAAAAAAAAGTCATTACTTAGACTGCATCTTTAGCAATGAACATGAATTACGACGTTAATACAAGTCAGCTTCTAATTCCAACTCACCAGTCCCTTTCACTGGACCTTTTCCAATGAACAAGCAAAAGAAAAAATAAAACAGGAAAGGAATCGAGAAGCTCCTGCTGCACAGAGCTCCCCCGTAACACCTGAACCGGTTGGGTCCTACACTCGTCAATAAACAAAAGGTTGCCAAAACACCTTTACTTTTCGACACAACTCACAAGGCGGACTAAAATGCACAGCAAAGTGACAAGGCCCTTTCTGGTGAACCGACAAAACAAGCTTTCATTTGGGCACTTTCACAGAACACCACTTAAGGTCCCGAAAGAAGCTAAGGCAAGACTGCAGGGCCGGGGGAGGAAATTAGGGATTTCGTCTCCGAGTTTTCAGTACCTCATTCATGGCTAGACTCAAAACTTGGGCGGACTTCAGGGCTCTGAGGCGAGCCGGGAGAGCGCTGCGCGCTACGCCACTGGAGACTTTGCCCGGCCGGAGTCAGCTGAGGCCGAGTCACCGGGTGGGACGGGGGAGGAGACGCGGGAGCATTTCGAAAGGCAGAGTGCCAGGAAGGCGAGACTCCACGCCACCTCATGTTCCCCGGGCCGCCGCCCCTCGCTCGCCCGCCCTCCGGTCCGGCTGGGTTTCGAACCCGCGGAGCCGGGCGCAGGTGGCGGGGCGGCAGCCGGCGTGCGGGGCCAGGGAACAGGCTCAGCCCGGCAGGGCGACCGGCGAGGGGCGTGCCGGGTGGGAGGGGCCCACTGGCCGCCTCGCCGGCCCCACGCGGAGACCCCGGCCCGCCGCCCGCCAGCCCGCGCGGGGACGCGCCGGCCAGGCCCGAGAGAGCGGGCAAGCGGACGAGCAGGGGGCGGGCGACAGACCAAACAAAAGCGCCTTTGTTGAGCGGCAGCCGCCGGAGGGTCACACACAATGGAGGAGGGAGCCGGCTCCGCCGCTGCCGGGCCCGCCGCGGCGCCCTCCCGAGCCGCCCCGCCGGCGCACCCCGCACACGTACACACACACACTCACGGGATTTCTCCGACTCATTGAGAGAGTGCGGGACCCGCGGACAGCCCCCAGTGTCGGCTCAGGTCTCCGGCTGTGCTGGCAGCAGCGGCGTCTCCGAGGCTCTCGCTTTGCCGCAGTCGCCGCCATGTAACCCCGACCCGCGAGAGAGGGCGAGGGAGAGGGGGCGGGGCCTCGCCGTGCCACGCCCCCTCACGTCACAGGCTCACTCCACGGGTTCTCCCGCCCCCGCCCTGCCCAGCGCGCCCGCACGCGCCGGAATTTCCAGCGCCCGTGACTGGGCTGTGCGCGCCGCGGGGGCGGTGGGAAAGGCACGCGGCTAGTCCTGCGCCTCCGGGGGCTTTGCCTGCGGGCGGGCAAGAAGGAAGACAGCCGGGGCCGTCTCTGCTCCACTACCTGCCCCGGCATTAAGGGAACAAAGTGACCAAACCCAGTGCGAGCGTTTACTAAGCACCTACTACGTGCAGAGCACTGGGCAATCCGAGAGGAAGAGGCCTCAGTCTCCAGGAAGGCTGGACCTCAAGATGGATTAGGCTGGAAGGCGGCAGCCGGAGCACAAGGCAGACGCGTCCGAGGCCAAGTACTGAGGTCATTCATTCTGCCAGAGAGTATGCAGGAAGGCTTTTAGGAGAGGTCGCCGCGGGTGGCCTTTCAGCTAGATCTTGGAGGAGCGGATGTAACCAGGAGGTGAAGGGGAGGGTGTTTCTGCCCAGAGAACAGTGTAAGCAAAGACTGGGAGGCCAGAGTACCTGCCTTGTTGCAGGAACTGGAATAGGATAATTTGAATTTGAAAAGGGATGCACTGTGAAACGTAGAAAGGTGGATGGGTACCTTCTTGGGCCCACTTCTTGGCTAAAAGCAAACTTACATTACTTTTAGTGGCTTATTGAGTCCAAGGAGCCTTTCCAGTGTTTATGTGAAATTTAGTATTTATGAAATTAGAGACGCAGGTCAGCATATTTTTTCAATGACTTCATCACCATACAATGCCGATGAGAACCATACAACAGCCCCTTAGCCATTATTATGGGCATCTTCAAGAGTGAGGCAAAGGCCACTTCAAAAAAAATCACAAAGGGCCGGGCGTGGTGGTACACGCCTGTAATCCTAGCACTTTGGGAGGCCCAGGCGGGCAGATCACCTGAGGCCAGGAGTTCGAGACCAGCACCGCCAACATGGTGAAAGCCCCGTCTCCACTAAAAATACAAAAACTAGCCAGGTGTGGTGGCTCACATCTGTAATCCCAGCTACTCGGGAGGCTGAGGCAGGAGAATCGCGTGAACCCCGCGGGGGCTTGCCGTTAGCTGAGATCGCGCTACTACACTCCAGCCTGGGCGAAAGCTTGACACTCCGTCTCAAAAAAAAAAAAAAAAAAATCACAGAGTAACGAAGTTAAGTGGTTGGGGTGAGCTGGAATGCTTTCTATTTTTTAATATTTAAAACAACGTCAGCTGAGTACCAGGTGTGAAGAAGAAGTGATGAGTGAATAAAACCAAGAGAAAGGGGAGACTTACTGCAACCGCAGAATTTCCAACTTCTGCAACAAGAGCTCTTACCTTCAGCCCCATTGCCCCTGCTCTAGGCTCTCCTCTGATCCTGAGGACATTTTTCCTCTCACTGTTTGAGAACTCATTTACCTTCCTCTTCCGTCAATGTTTGATCACCCAGAGAAGGTGGGAGAATAAATACCAAGCACTGTGCCTTCCCTCAAGGAGCGTTTAATCCAGTGTCACTGCTGACTTCGGGTAAATAACCTGTGGATAATGCAAAGTTGGCTTACAATAGTAAGGGAGACACTAAGTTGACAGAATCTTTGTACCTTTTCAAAAGGGGAGGTCAAGGATGGAATAATTACAAGATTTGGGGGATCTGGTTTTTGTTTGTTTGTTTTTGAGACAGAGCCTTGGTCTGTCGCCAGGCTGGAGTGCAGTGGCGCGATCTCGGCTCACTGCAACCTCTGCTCAAGCGATTCCCCTGCCTCAGCCTCCTGAGTAGATGGGACTACAGGCGCGTGCCACCACGCCCAGCTAATTTTTGTATTTTTAGTAGAGATGAGGTTTCACCATGTTGACCAGGATGGTCTCGATCTCCTGACCTGGTGATCCACCCACCTCGCCCTTCCAAAGTGCTGGGATTACAGGCGTGAGCCACCACACCCAGCCCAGGGATCTGGTTTAAGACTGGTTTTTCAGTGACGGGTTCTGATTGGGTTTGGGACAAGTTTGTGATATCATAGTTTAGGATGGGTGGGCAGAGGATGGGGAGAGTTTTGAAGAGAGCCTAAAGGGATAAATAGTTGTTAAACTCAGTAGAGCAGAGGGCTATTTACCCTGATGAAGGCAAATTCTGTCAGTAACTTAATGAGATAAATGGATTTTAGGAAGTTCCTGAAACCACGATCAAGTTATTTGCAACTCCACCGTTTTGGGCAAGAGTTTCTTAGAATTCAAGTTATATTTATTGCAGATAGTTGAATTGTAAAGTCATGTTAATGTAATTGGTTTTAGTTTTTTGGGTTTTTTTTTTTTTTTTTTGAGATGGAGTTTTGCTCTTGTCACTCAGGCTGGAGTGTAGTGGCATAATCTCGGCTCACTGCAACCTCCGCCTCCCGCGTTCAAGCGATTCTCCTGCTTCAGCCTCCTGAGTAGCTGGGATTACAGGCTTGTACCACACGCCCAGCTAATTGTAGTATTTTTAGTAGAGACGGGGTTTCACCACCTTGAGCAGGCTGGTCTCAAACTCCTGACCACCCGCCTCGGCCTCCCAAAGTGCTGGAATTACAGGAGTGAGCCACCGGGCCCAGCCAGTTTTAGTTTTTGTGTGTGTGTGTGTGCGCGATGGAGTCTGGCTCTGTGGCCCAGGCTGGAGTGCAGTGGCAGGATCTCGGCTCACTGCAAGCTCTGCCTCCCAGGTTCAAGCTACTCTCCTGTCTCAGCCTTCCAGTAGCTGGGATTACAGGTGGCGCCACCATACCCAGCTAATTTTTGCATTTTTATTAGAGAGGGGGTTTCACTATGTTGGCCAGGCTGGTCTTGAACTCCTAACCTCAAGTGATCCGCCCACCTCAGCCTCCCAAAGTGGTGGGATTACAGGTGTGAGCCACTACACCCAGCCCGGTTTTAGGTCTTAATCCTATTCTAGGCGGTGGCTCACACCTGTAGTCCCAGCACTTTGAGAGGCCAAGATGGGTGGATCACCTGAGGTCAGGAGTTTGAGATCAGCCTAACCAACAGGGTAAAACCACATCGCTACTAAAAAATACAAAAAAAATTAGCCAAGCATGGTGGTGTGCGCCACCCAGCTACTCAGGAGGTTGAGGTAGGAGAATCGCTTCAACCCAGGAGGTGGAGGCTGCAGTGCGCCGAGATCGCGCCACTGCGCTCCAATCTGGGTGACAGAGCAAGACTCCCTCTCCAAAAAATAAATAAATAAATAAATCCCATTCTGTAGCTATAAAAAGTTTCAATGCTTGGCCGGGTGCAGTGGCTCAGGCCTGTAATCCCAGTACCCTGGGAGGCCAAGACAGGTGAATCACCTGAGGTTAGTAGTTCGGGACCAGCCTGACCAACATGGTGAAACCCTGTCTCTACTGAAAATACAAAATTTAGCTGGGCATAGGCCGGGTGTGGTGGCTCACACCTGTAATCCCAGCACTTTGGGAAGCCAAAGTGGGTGGATCACGTGATGTTAGGAGTTTGAGACCAGCCTGACCGACATGGTGAAACCCCCTCTCTACTAAAAATACAAAATTAGCCAGACGTGGTGGTGCACGCCTGTAATCCCAGCTACTCAGGAGGCTGAGGCAGGAGAGTTGCTTGAACCTGGGAGGCAGAGGTTGCAGTGAGCCGAGATCACACCATTGCACTCCAGCCTGGGCGACAAGAGTGAAACTTCATCTCAACAAAACAAAAAAAGTTTCAATTCTCAGCATTTTTTCAAACTGCAGATTATGATCCATTAGTGAGTAGTGAAATCATTTTAGTGGATTACAATTTGCATTTTGTCTTAATGGAGCAAAAAACCAAAGAGAGCTTGCCCAGAAGAAAGGGCAAACATTGTTTTGTGCAACTTTTGTCTTGGTTATGTAACACATTTCAACAGATCTGAAAATGTCATTCATTATGAAACATGCCATTATTTTATGTACTATTAAGAAAGTGAAAACTCTATCAAAATATGATACCTTATTGCTACATCTTTTTTTTTTTTTTTTTTTTTTAATTTTTTAAATTTATTTATTATTATTATACTTTAAGTTGTAGAGACTCTCACTTTGTCACCCAGGCTGGAGTGCAGTGGTGTGATCATGGCTCACTGCAGCCTCAAGCTCTCGGGCTCAAGCAATCCTCT